TGTTACCTTTCAGCCAGAAAAGCCTAAGCATAAAACATGTGGAATTCTCTTAAGGCAACCTCTGATGCTTGAATTAAAAGTCTGCCATGCTGTATTGCTTGAAACCTGTGTGGTGTGAGCGTGTGTTGTTTGGTGTTGGGGGTGGGGGTAAATTTTCTTTGGATTTCTCATTGTTACCTAGTAACTTTGGAATTGCATGCCTAGTTGTAAATTCATAAATTTCTTTTGCTAAATTAATAGCTTTCGTTGGACATTAGACAAAAATTATGGATTGTCATTTGTTATGTTCTGCCTCATTCTTGGTATGAGGTTGTTCATTGTTAATGCTGTTGTGTACTTATTTATGTGGATGAAGCAGAAACCGTGTAATTCAGTTTATTTATCAGTAATTTGTTGAATGGTTTAAGTTTTTTGTGAAATGTTGAAGCTTACATTTAGTTACATTTGTTGCTAATTCTTGGGCATCAAATTTTTGAAGTGGCTGGCTATTCTCAGCTACAAAACTTGTGAATCCATTCTTCGCTCTTCTGGATCCAGAGGTTGCTCACAGACTGGGTGTCTCAGCCGCAGCACGTGGCTGGGTTCCTAGAGAGAAGAGACCAGATCCATCAAATTTAGGGCTAGAAGTTTGGGGAAGGAAGTTCTCCAACCCTGTAGGTCTTGCTGCTGGCTTTGATAAGAATGCTGAGGCTGTTGATGGTTTACTTGGTTTAGGCTTTGGCTTTGTAGAGATTGGCTCTGTAACCCCTGTTCCCCAAGAGGGCAATCCAAAGCCTCGTATCTTCAGATTGCGTGAGGAAGGGTAAGAGTATGTTTTGTGTTTATCTTATTATGTTCTGATTAAGACCTGAATTGCCTCGAATTTCATGTGTTAAGTCAAATTTTCTGTTCACTTTTGGAAAGTGGTGAAGGTGCTTTAGCTTCTGATATTTTTTTTTTCTCAAACTTGAGCTGGGTTACATTTCTTATTCTAACTTATGTGCTATCAATCTACCTGTTGTTGTGTTCAGAGCTATCATCAATCGATGTGGCTTTAATAGTGAAGGAATTGTTGCTGTTGCAAAGCGGTTGGGTGCTCAGCACGGTAAGAGGAAGTTGGATGAAACTACAAGCACTTCCTCTTCTTCAGGTGAAGAAGTCAAACCTGGAGGCAAAGCAGGCCCTGGAATACTAGGGGTGAATCTTGGGAAGAACAAGACAAGTGAAGATGCTTCTTCAGATTATGTACAAGGCGTTCATACATTGTCCCAGTATGCTGATTACTTGGTAGATTGTTCTCTACTGATTTCAAGTCTAGTAATTTTTCTGTTTTCATGCTAAATATTAATATTTTCTTTATAAGTATAAGATGTAGAGTTCTTAAGTTTCGCCTGACATTGTGACTCTGCTGCTTTGCAACTAAAGACGTGTTCATTCCCTATTGCTGGAAAGTGCATCTTTATTGCTAATGTTGGTGCCCTAGGAATAGGATCTCCGTTTGTCCAAAGGAGGCTGCATGTAGGGTAGTTCTGCTGACTGAAGCATAATTAGGAAAAAACACTCTCTTCACTGTCCAACTTTTTCTTTCTTTTAACTTGATCACGATGCCTGTGTTAGTATGATGTTTTCATGGCTAACATCTAATAAGATAGGTTCTTTTGTGTTGGTTCTCTACACGGAAAAGCAATAAGAGGTGCATTTGAATCGGCCTCTTGTTATGGTCTTTTGGTTGGTTCATTCATTTGATTTTTAGTTCTATAATTTCATACCATCTTTGGGTTAATTTACCTGGTGTCACAAATTATACTACATAATTGGTTACATATTTCCTTGTTTGTCGATAAATGATGCCAAATATGTCTTTTGAGGATCACAATTAATTTAATAGAGAATAGAGATTTTTGGAAAATAATTTCTTTAAAGCTCAGGTGGGAAGCAATAGTTTTAAGTCCAACTTTTTAATACTTGACTAGGATATATGAACAATCAAATTTATATCTGGAAATGATTCAGATTAAAGTAAAACTTCCTCAACTTCAGTAGTGAAAGCTGAATTGTCAGTGGGTTAAAATAGAATCTTGCATCATTTCTTGATTTAATTCCTCAGAAGTTGAGTTTTTGGTAATAAGTCACAAACTGCAATTAGGTTTCAGTTTCTGCGTGTACATTTCAAGTTCAAATCCAGGTTAATTCATTCGACAATATTCATGCTGATCTCTTTGCAGGTGATTAATGTTTCATCACCCAACACCCCTGGGTTACGTATGCTTCAGGGAAGAAAGCAGTTAAAGGACCTTGTGAAAAGGGTATGGAGCTCAAGGCATGAACTTTCTTTCCCTCTATATAATTGATCACAATGTCTCCAAAAGTTAGCTCTTATAGCTCTTTCTTCCCATCTCAAGGTTCAAGCTGCTCGTGATGAAATGCAATGGGGTGAAGAGGGCCCTCCTCCTTTGCTCGTGAAAATTGCTCCAGATTTGTCTAAAGAAGATCTTGAAGATATTGCTGCAGTATGCATTTATGCTCGTAATTGATTACTTTCTTCCCCCTTAATATGGTTTTCTCATGGTTGTTTGTTTATCAATATAGGTTGCCCTTGCCCTTCGCTTGGATGGATTGGTATGTTTACTTCCTATCACACACTTCACCTTTTTCATTGTTTACCATATCCATATCAAAAGTTGCTACTCTTATGAGCTATTTAGTGCAATGATAATTATACGGTGTTCTACATGTTAATGTTAGAGTATAGGTTGATGACTTTAATGTTCAGTATGTTATTTACCTAAAAATTTAGTGCCATTTGTTCTACTCTTATGAGCTGTTTTTATCTTGTTTATTCTAGGTTATATCAAATACCACTGTTTCAAGACCAGATCCTGTTAGTACAAACCCAGTGGCTTCTGAAGCTGGTGGCTTGAGTGGAAAGCCACTCTTTAATACCTCTACCAGTCTCTTAAAGGACATGTACATTTTGACGAGGGTACGTTGCCCCTTTGTAACGCATGTAACCTGTTATTCACGATACTTGCACTGGGGTAGATTGCATAGTACATGTCTTTACAACATGACACTTCTTTTTTATGTTCTATTATTGAAATTCTTGAAGATGCGTGAGTATGCTGGCTTGATATGTCATTCTATTGTTGTACTGACTCATCATCCCATTGTGGCTTATGTACAAGAGAAGTTGGACTATTAATATTTCTTATTTGCCCTTGCATTAGGAAGTACAGAATTTTTGAAAGTATAAAATATATCAGTATACGAGCTTCAAATTTCATGCAAAGTAGCTTATAATTGTTTTTGGGTTTGATGAATATGATGTCTAGACACAGCTGGCCGAGCACACTGTAGTTTAACTAGTGCCTAGCTGAGGTCCTTTTATTTATTTTCTTTGTAAGGAAATTTATTGACTTGAACCTCTTGGTTGTTATTGCTAGACATTTAGGGCCTCTTTTGGATGTTATTTGAACCATTTGTTTAAATTCTATGTTTTTTCCTCTTGGGTTCATTTTTATGTGCATGTATCAGAGCGTGACCCTGTTAATTTAATATCAATCAGGGAAAGGTTCCTTTAATAGGGTGTGGGGGCATTAGCAGGTAAGATCAGAACAGCCCTTTGTTAATATTTTTCATATTTGAATTATTATCTACTTTTCCCCCCTTAATGGACCTTGTTTTTGCCATGGATTTAGTGGTGAGGATGCTTACAAAAAGATACGAGCTGGAGCAAGTCTTGTTCAGCTTTATACAGCATTTGCCTATGGGGGACCTGCTCTCATCCCCCAGATAAAGGTATTATCTGATGCGCTCATTCTGCACAAAACCATTTTTTTCGCCTAATGTCATGGACGCCCTTATAATAGTCTTACAATCTCTGCTCATCTCTCTCTCTCTCTCTCTCTCTCTCTCTCTCAGGCTGAATTGTCTGAGTGCTTAGAAAGGGATGGTTTCAAGTCCGTTAGTGAAGCAGTTGGTGCAGATTGCAGAGTGGCAACAGCAAAAGTATAAACAATAGATAAGCGATGAACTTATTTGTGGAGCAAATTTTTACATTGCATGGTGTAAATTCTGATTTTTAAGCGGTATTTTTTTTTTGGTACGGGAGTCGGAGAGACTCATAACATGTGAGAAATTTTTTGAAGAGAGGCATTATTTGTAGTTTGTACCCAACTTTGCACCGAATGCTTAATTTAATTGTAGCAAATGGAAAAGATAATCTGCTGCCACTCCCGGATATGCAAGCTCAGAATCAGAGTTGATATGTACAAATTTGGATCCATTCTACTTTCTGCTGTGTCACTCCATTATGATGGCTTGGTGACATGCTCTCGCATCCACTCAAAAATAATAATTTGCTTTATGAGAAACTTGTCTTGTATTTTTTTGTGCACTTGCCACCACCTACCTCGAATAAACCCTCCTTTAAATCTTAAACAAAATGGCCCGAGGATGTGCATGGTTTAATAGAAAACTAGCAATCATTTGATTCAATGTCCCCCTAACATTTTCGATTTGGCCCTGTTCGTTTTTTCGGTTTTCAGAATAACAATAGTATTTGTACGCTGCATAGCAAACAACCATTCGAGCTTCTGATAAGAAACTAATAACCAAATTACAGTAAGTGCTTCTGCCAATAAACCTAAATCTATCCCCTTCTACTTATTTTTCCTTCATGCTCAAATACTTTTTATTTTATGTTTACAAATGCGATATTTAAGATTATTCTAACTTCCGGAAAGAGAGAACGGACACACTATCTTGGTCTACTGGCCAAACCCGCACCTAGGTAGCTTGTAAGTCATACATCGTCCCTGTTTTAAGTTTTGTCGTCACGCAGCCAATCTTATCCTTCCACTTTGTAAATTGGTCAACTTTCCTAGGCCCTCATGGAATAATATTAATTATGGTACTCTCCAAAGAGAAGAACTTTCCCTCCCTATGACTTCATATTGCTTTTGATTCCACCTTAGTTTTTGTGTTTTCTTTTGCTTTCCTGAGCGATGCTTTATGATAGAAATATCATTTCATATTATATAAATATAAGGATTAATTGATTACTACCAATTTGTATATACATCATTACCATTAAGCTAACAACACAATACACATTATATTCGGTTCTCAATGAAATTAATAATATATGGATATGGTGAAAGAATTTCTGAGAACATCAGCTGCATGTTTGACCACCTGAGCCGCTCCTCCGCCGCTTCACCACTGGAAAAACTTGGCGAAAACCGCCTTGTGCCGCTGCCATGTGCCACTCTTCCATGACCCCATCCAACTCAAACTGGTGCACCACCTCTGAACCCTCGTATATACAAGCCTCTGGGAATCCGGCCAGCCCTCGACACGGCGGCTTGGTTTTCCGTCGACCGGCCCCCACGGGCACGTTCCGTAGAGCCCCGCCAGCTGTCCAGTACCTCTGGCAGCCCTTGCAGAAGTGTCTTGGCTGGTTAACGTTGTAGTTATTGAAGTAACAAAATTTAGTCTCCATGCTTTTGCATCTTGGGCATGGTATGATCCTATCTGGCCTCTTCTCCGCCGTTTGATCAGCTTTCTTGGGTTCTTCTTTTACTTGTGATCTATTTTGCAATGTAATCGTTGTCCCGAATAGCTTAATTCCCGGGACATCTTGGCCGTTTTGGACCTCAGCCATGAGAGATAGGAAGACACACAAACAGAGAGAGAAATTGAGATATGGTCTAGAGTTTGAGAGACGTACACTTTGTATTGTATGGTTTAAGGAGGGGGTTGTGCTGGTGCTTGTGTATTTATAAAGGAAAATGAGGGATCAAAAGTGCTTAAATTAAAAGCAGGATTGTAAGAAAACCATGTGACAGCCGCCAAGAAGCCAGGTAGGTTGGCTTTGGCAAAGTTGAGGACGAGCTTTTTGTACACATCATTACTCCACGTCATCATCGTGGAATTAGTGGGTCCCAGTCCAGGGAGGTCGCGTACAAAGTGTCAGTGGTAATGGGAGCATAAAGGGAGATAAAGCATGTTGCTAATGAAAGTAGTTGTAGTTGTGTACATATTCTAGCCAATAAAGGTTTTTTTTTTTTTTTTTCCTTTAAAAAGTGATAAAGCTAAAAGCCTTCTTATTTTGCTTTGAGAAATCTCCATGCATTTGGGCATTTGCTTTTGGTTGATTTGTAAAATAAGGATATTGCTTGCCTCCTTTCCTGTAAGAGGATACTCTATCTTCTAGTTTGACTTTTATGTAAAAAACAATTCATTAAAAACACAAAAAGAAAAACATATACACATATGTCACACTGCTATTAACAGAAATGTAAGAGCTCATACTTACATAATAAGGAGGGAAGTATTTTCCATAAAGTAAATGGATAATCAAGACCATATCTAATTTGCAAGCAGTATTGGTGAAGCTCTATATGGAACTTTATACTTTCTAACAAAAGAGATTATGGTTAGGTTAAGTGGTCTTAAAGCTAGCTAAGTATTAGCCTGGAGGGCAATTAAAGTTAAAGGGCTACAATTCATGCATGAACCCCAAACCCAACTTTTGCAAATTGTGCCCATTGCTCTCAGTGGCACTAATGATATGGTGCCAAAATGATATCAAAAGGTGCCATTTACAGTATTTTATATCCAAATATCATCAACAATCACTTTTAAGATCTAAAATGAATTATTTTGATATATAAATATATACACATGTCTTAGCAAGAAAAAGAAAAAGGAAAAATAGAAACTTTACACATGCCTTGACTTGAATGAGTTTTGTCCAATCAGATCTGCCAGCAGTGAGTTTAATTATCATATATTCCTCTTGCAAAATAAACCTTGTCGTTCACCCATATTATAACACATGTACAAAATGTACCATGTGATTATACTACCATGGTATTCGATAATTTCTCCCTTACATAAAATTAATTAAAGTAAGATACTTGTATTAATGTTATTGCTAAACACTTTGTTTCAAAGCCATCTTTGCAGGTTTCAATGGATTTGATGATTAACTTTGTTGCTTCCTTTTCATCACACTTTGACATTGTAGGGTTGTGGACAATGTGGTCCGGGCTGCTTTCAGTTTGCAATTATGATGAAAAAGTAATCTGAAATGGGATTTCTTTAATAAAGGAATCTTTATTTAGTTAATGCAAAAGAAGAAGCCTCATTTCCAACACTTTTTTTCTTTCTTTCTTTCTAAATTATACAATGTCGACAAAGTAGCACAATTCTTCCAACACTTTTACTTAGAAATGCATGCAAGATTTCTTTCTGATGCCGATGCTTTCAAAGTCTCTTTTAAGCAAAAGCTTAAAAGGATATATGTAAAGAACAAAGTGATTTTTAGTGCATCTTTTTTATAGTTGGGGGACCTCTTTTTAGGGGTAAAACTGCCTTATTACTACACATAAAGAGAAGAGATCATCAGCAGAATATTATTGGAATTATTTTTTTTCTTTAGAAGTTGCACTTCTTATTATTCCATCAATTAGTCCAAGGCAATTTGCATTTGACAGGCAAAATTCAGCTTACTTTGGAAACTAATAGCATCTCCTCTCTGATTAAGAATTTTTCATCCCACACCTCACTCACATATTCCATGTTATTATCAGACTCGTAATAAATATATATCGTTATCAAATTCTCTTTTAATCAAGTGGAGACAACTATATTAGTAGATCAAAGACTAGTTTGTCATATTTCTCGTGTTATTGTATTTTTTTAAATTAAAGATAATATGTGGTGGAGTTGGAAAGATTAAGTACTAAGTATAGCTTCTTGTTGGTCGTTATGTTTTTTTTATTTAAATAATTCGTAATCAAGTTGCTTTAATAAAATGGAAAAGAAAGTCTTCTTTCCTTATTCATTTATATAACATAGACTAAATTTACTAATTTCAATCAGTGTGCCGGTTGGAGGCTGCAATGCCAGCCCAACACTGGATTAATGAATTAATATATGAAGTTGTGGATATATTATATTGATAGGTTTTTCTAGAACGAAAAGAAGAAAGGAAAAAAAAACAAGAAGAAGAAGAAGAAGAAAGGAGATATTGATAAAGTCTTCTGCTGAAGTGTGATGAATTGGAAACGCAATAATGTTGTTCAATTTGAATACGACAGGAATTTTACAGAGTTTTTCTCACTGCATCTGCATGTACTCATTTTTGTATATGTATTAAAATACTCGTACTTTTCACGTTTCTGCTTTTATTTCAACTTAATTAGTCTTGTAGCCTACAAACTAATCCAAGCTAATTCGATCCATATTCAATCCGTTTACAGGTTTACTTAATTAAGCTGCATAGCTAATAGTTTCCATCTTAAAACTCAAGGCTTTGGGATTTGTCAATTTTTTTTTCATGGGAATTCGATTTTACGTACAAGAGGCGGACTCACTACTTTTAACCAACAAACCCCCACATCTGCTTTGGTCAACTTATCTTAGACATTCTTAATTCATACGACGGCTATTTTCTCCATGATTGTTGGTTGTGAAGCAAATGACTCGATCAAATTTGATGAAATAACGGATATATGGAAATAAAAATAATCGATTGACAGATTCGAATAAATGGTCTGCTTAAGCTTCATTAATCTCAATTATGAAAAGCATCGGCATACGGATACAAAATGAATCAGTACAGCAAACTTGCGGTGCAAAAAGTATAGATCTATAAACGAGTGTTCAAGGAACAACAAATATAAATTGAGACATATTATGGCATTTTTGGTATAAATGATTGCCTCAAATATGTAGAAGATCATGCTCAACCTGACAACTTATCTCATCTTTCTACCTAAAAGGAATCAATCAAAATTACTGCAATGGATCGATACAAGATTAACCCCTACACTTAATTACAGAAAGAAACTGAAATTAATCACATATACATATATAACACAGCCTTGGCCAACTTTGTGAACTCCAACCAGCAAGGGGATTGTTTCTCATGGGCTGGCTTATAACCATGGCCAAATCAAGCATCACTCCATGTATCGTCGTCTTCCCCTTCACTCCCAACAGCCTGACAAGTTTTTCTAAATTGTCAATTTGATTGTGTCGTGATACTTATACGCAAATGAACAAAAGGAAAACGAAAGAAAAAGGGATAGAGGACAATGGGGAACCTGGCGAATGGCATTGGCTTTCTCCAAAATTGCAGTTACTTTGACGTTGGTAGCAGGTACCGGTGTGATGATTGGCTTTGCTGGTACTGTGCGTCTCAGGTTGAATGACTGGAAGGACATAACAACAAATAAGCAGAGAGTTAGCGATGGTTTACTTTGTTACTTACTGTACCCTAATCACTGACTGAACATTTAGTGATTAGAAAAGTGAGCGCACTGATTGAAAGACAAGCTTTGTTACAAGATAAAATCAATCTAACAAGATACTTATAAACATGACCAATCATCGACATGCTCTAAGTAAATAGAGATTATGTGGATCCGGTATAGTAGATGTCTATTTCGAAAAAACTGATTTTATTTTCAATTTACAAAAAGCAGAAGAGAATAGAAAAATCTCCATTTGGCACATTATACATATGAATATGAAACACTTCTATACATAGATAAAATGACTTTTAGGGTTTTGGGAAGCAAGCCATATGACGAGAAAAAATGGTCACTCACCTTTGCTCTGATTTGTTGTAGAAAATCTTCCTTTTCGTCTATCCCTTTGCCATTTAGAGCCTGATCATCTTCTTTCTGTCCATTTACGTGCTGGTCCTGCTGCAGCAAGAAAATTTTGATAAAACGTCCTTCCGCAGTTTTGACTTCCCACTATTTTTATTTGAATACCTTTCATGCCTTAAAAACAGGATTAAATTGCATGACATGATACCTTGCATTTAATAGAAATGGACTCCTCATTTATTTGTTGTTGCTGTGCTGGGGCTGGCTTAGGTTGCTGGAGGGTGATGGACCCCAAAATCTCTGTGTCGAATACGTGTTTAAAACCTTCAGATACATCTTGTTTTTCGTCTGTTACATTTAAGGTAGGTTTTGAAACACGCCATTCCACTGGAGGGAGAGGTGGTGGTCCTGGTGTAGAATCCCCCGAACATTTCAAACCATGAAGATCCTTAGGAACTGAATCATCTTTTGCTTCTTGCTTAAGTACGGGTTCCAAAGCATCTAAACTTGGAAGATCAAGTAAAGGATCAGAGAGAGAATGTTCCAGCCCATTATCAGTGTGCACACTTTGAATTCCACCATCTCCATAAGTGGCATTGTGGGATATTCCCCCTATTTCCAGAGAGGTGGATATACGTTCGGCTGATGAGATTCCACACAAAGCATCGTATAGGTCATGGTCCTTGCATTCTAGAGTTTCACTAGATTCCCATTGTTCAGAATTCGACTCAGAGAGATGGCTAAGACAATCATCTGATATATATGGAGATGATCTACAGAATGTGTCATCATCAGAATCAGAACCAAATTCATGCAGAGGAATAGAAGGCTCTGGGACCAACTGAAATGACTGAAACATGTCTTTTACACTTCCATGGCTTTGACTCCCATCAGATAATTTCAATTTGAGTATGGAAGTTTCAATGCCATTCATGGGATGGAAAGATATTTTCATATGTTCAAGTGGTGGTGAAGAAGGAGGTGATTCAACAGCAAATCCATGCTCAAATTTCTCCTTGAAGTATGTGTCGGGAAATGCTTGGTGCTCTACTCTGTGGTGCTCATTTCTCTGGTCCAATACACCAGCATTTGAATAACTAGCAGGCTCAGATTTGTCATCGTGTGAATGTGGAACTTTTCTACCAAAACCATTCACAAGTAACCT